TGGTCGCCTTGGGATGGCCGTGAACATTCCATCGTCTGCATACAAGCCCATGCATGAGTTCCGAATTCTTTGAGTTAGCAATTCCCCTCACCTCTGTGAGCTTTGCACAACTCTTTCATTCACTGAGCAACTCATTCCACCTTGGATGGTCTCATCCTTTACCAAGCACCTCGTTTGCCTCGGGCACCATCAAGTATAGTTGTCAACGTTGAGCCATAGCTCAAACTCAGCCATCCCAACCTTTGTGCACTCCGCATTCTTCCAAGCTTGTCTGTTCTTGTGGTGCCTCTTGCGCGAAGGGTTGGCCATTCCTTTGAATGCCAATCTCAGATGCCCGCTCCTCCAAGAGACTTCTTTTCCCTACATCTCTATGCTCGTTTTCCCCCAAACGGTCGCGTGTGTGCTGACTGCCCTCAACGCAGCCCCGCTAGGTCCCCCACGTTAGCATGATAAGTGTTTCTATGAGTGCTTGTCCCGCTCTGATACCATCTGCCACGGACTTAGCTAGTTTTGCCTAAGTCGTGCGGCACCCTTGCGTGTCCGTCCGCAAAGGTCAGCCTCCCCGAAGCCTCCCATTGTCCCTTAGGACCAACAAAAGAGAGAACGGGTTAGAGAGAACGCCTCAATCGGGATCCACAAGTAAACATCTCCGAAAACACTTTATAGACAAAGCAAATTACAAACAGACTTTACAAGCTCTGAACAGTTGCACAACAAAGGGTAAAATGATCCATTATAGACCAAAAATCTCTCACACGTATCCACATGACACAACTTTTATTTACCAACCTAAATCCGCCACCAACCCAACTAAAATGGGACTATTAAGCCTTCGGCCATCCCTCTACATGCTGTATAAAGTATGAACATACCAAAAGACACGGACATACATAAGCATTACATCAAACATCCTGTTTCGAAGTTTGTCCGTGACACGACGTCCAATCTTCTAACATGTTCCTCCAGCATAACATGATTTTCCTGTTTTAATTGTCTCATCCTGATCGAAGCATCCTGTGTCACTCAAAACGAAGATTAAATCATAAACACATATCAAGTGGTTTCATCATCAAAATACGAGATTCAACATCTTTGAGTATCGGTTGGATCGGATCAGGAAACCTCCCTCGACCCTAATCTTTATACAGGTGGCACCTCAAGAGCATAATACTTATACCTTAAAAACATAATACTTATATCTCAAATACATATATGAGTATGGATCATATCAGACTAGTCAGGAAGTGAATGATATTTTCTCTTAGTATATACTAGTTCTTGCTTAATTTTCTATTGTTTATTTGTTCAAATATGTTTTGTAATATATTGTGAAGCTAAAGCAATTTTGGATCACTTATTAGTGGTGATGCAACTAAGAGTAACAAAAAGTCATATTAAGACCGATACAAAGCTCTTGGTTGATGTTCTTAATAAGGCCTCTTAACCTCCTTGGTCAATTTTAAATAGGTGTAGGAACATATTTCACTCTTTGATTTTTCTGATGATGTTCATAGTACATATGTATATAGGGAAGCAAACAAACCTGCACATTGGCTTACTAACTAGGTTCGATTGCATAGGATCATTACCCTTTGGCAAGATGGATTGGCCTACCTCTTTTGAGGATTAACTTTATGTTGATGTGCAGGGTTTTTTTTAGGATCAACTTTATGTTGATGTGCAGGGTTTTTATAGTACTGGTATGATTTTACAATAAAGTTCTTTTTTTGAAAAAAAAAATTTAATACACTCGGTGGGAGCAGACCTTCTCATACTACTTAGGCATTTGAATTGAAATGGTGGGGTTGCTGTTAGTGTAAACAACCTTAAGCCGTGGCCTCGGGACCGACGCGGCTTGGTTCGGGTCCGGATGACGGGAATCTCCCTGGGACGTTCCTCGAGACTACTGAGGTGGCCGATTACGGTAGTCCGATCGGGACGGGATCACCGTTTCCTCCAGGCAAGAACTCCTCGCTTGCGCGCCCAGTGGGGACCTTCGGCTTCGTACCTACACAAAGGTCGGGTCGGGGAGCTCGGCCCGACCTCTTCGACGATCAAGTCAGTGGATGGTAAAGGGGGTTTCTTTAGTTAAGTTGTCTCCTCTCCCTCTTTCCGTTTAGAATGCGAGGGTATTTATAAGGAAGCTTACTGTTTCCTGATGTGCCCGCTTACAGGGGCAGGCTCGTACTCCTGGTAGCGTCTGACACTGGTGTTGGCGTGATGTGAAGGACTAAGCCTAAGCAGGATGTTTAATGTGCCTCGGTCGACGTTCCAATCCGTTTGACCAGGTGGTGTCAGGTCAACCGAGGCGTCATCTAGGGCAGTTGACGTCAACTCGAGTCTTATCGCCATTATTACCCTCATCATATTCCCCCCCCAATGGAAGCTATGCGTCGGTTGCTGTAAAAGGGGGGTCCGATGTATGGCTTTGGCTTTGAGAAACTGTCCCAGCCGGGCGTTTTGCCGGTCCGTTGCCAGGGGTGTGGGAATCGTGGAGTTTAGCAACTAAGAAGGGTTGGATGTGTAGCGGTGACCCCGGGTAGTATACGGCCGAGGAGCACACTCTGTAGAGCAGGCCGAGCAGAGGTTGTGGTCTCGGGGAGCATGGAGCCGAGGAGCACGACGCAAGCGGGCTGGCCGCGCAGGTGTGGTCTCGGGGAGCATGGAGCCAAGGAGCACGATGCAGGTGAGCTGGCCGCGCAGGTGTGGTCTCGGGGAGCATGGGGCCGAGGTCTCGAGTAACATGTGGCCGAGGAGCACGACGTAGGCGGGCAGGCCATGCAGGTGTGGTCTCGGGCAACATGCGATCGAGGGACACGGCTTAGGCGGGCATGCCGCGCTGAGGTGGACTCGGGCAGTCTACGACCGAGCCGTGCAGATACAGAAGGGGGTTAGGCAGAAGTTAACCGCGAGCCGGGAGACAGTCAGGTAGATACTGAGCCTTCGCTCGGAAGAGACTGAGGCAGGGCCTAGATTCCTTTTACGAGGACTACATCGGATAGCCACCGCGGGTGTTTGACTTCTTCTATGGAGCCCGCTGCCAAAAGTCGCTCCTTCTCCTCATGGCCACCCAGGACTCCGCCGCGATGTACTGGTTAGCCCGCTGGAGCATATCTAGTACTGTGGTGGGGGGTCGCTCCATGAGGGACCAACAGAATCTGGAAGGTCGCAGGCCTGTCATAAACGCCTGCACTAACAAAGAGGGATGAGCGTCCGGCAACTCCCGGATTTGTGTTGTAAAGCGATTCACAAAATGGGAGAGGGGCTCGTCCTCCCTTTGGTTGAGTCCGAGGAGCAGTGCAACGGACGGCTTTGGCTGGGCGTAGGCTAAGAAATTAAGCTCAAAGTCTTCGACGAGCTGATCAAAGGAGGTGATAGTCCCGGTCTTCAAGCCGCTGTACCATGTGTGGGCCGGCCCCCTCAGGGTGGTGGGAAAAGCCCTGCACATCAAAGCATCAGAAGTTCCATACAGTGCCATCTAGGCACGGAAAGCGGCTACATGGTCCATTGGGTCGGTGGAGCCGTCGTAAGCGTCCAGGGAGGGGAGTTGGAAGTTCGAGGGGACTGTCTGATCCTGTATCTCGGGTGTGAATGGAGACCCTTGGTGTGCATCCTCCCCGAGCTCTCCCTTTGACCTGCGAACCTCCTTCTCCACTACGTCGAGCCGCTGACTAACAAAGCGTAGCTGGGCTCGCAGGGAGTCCGTTGAATCGGAAGATAATGCCTCAGGTTCCGGGCGGCCGCTCGGGTTTTCCATCACTCGATCCCCGAGTGGGGTTGATCAGACCCGAGGCGAAGTAGGGAACTCCGGAAGTGGCGTGTGGGCCCGAGCGGGCGGCTCCTGTTGCCGCAGTGGTTGAATCGCAAGCGGGTGCGCTGGATGAGAAACGAGTGGGATAACGGTTTGCACCATACTTGTCAGAGCTCGGACTTGATGGGCGAGGTCCAGAAAGGCTTCGGACGACACGGGCGACGGGTCGGCTGGGGCACCTTCGGGCGGCGACCAGCCCGGGTCGTTGAATACCTGCCAATAGCGCTCTGAGGTCGTGGCAGGGTGTTCATCACGAAGATCTCCGTGCGGGGGATGTTCCCCTGAAGCTCCAATCGGATGTGACCCCTCAGTCGCAGGTTCGTCCGAGCCAATCGGGTGATCCCTCGACATCCCGGCCCTTCTTCTAGCGCCAAAATGTTAGTGTAAACAACCTTAAGCCATGGCCTTGGGATCGACGCGGCTTGGTTCGGGTCCGGATGACGGGGATCTCCCTGGGACGTTCCTCGAGACTATTGAGGTGGCCGATTACGGTGGTCCAATCGGGACGGGGTCGCCGTTTCTTCCGGGCAAGAACTCCTCGCCTGCGCGTCCATTGGGGACCTTCGGCTTCGCACCTGCACAAAGGTCGGGTCGGGGAGCTCGGCCCGACCCCTCCGACGATCAAGTCAATGGATGGTAAAGGGGGTTTCTTTAGCTAAGTTGTCTCCTCTCCCTCTTTCCGTTTAGAATGCGAGGGTATTTATAGGGAAGCTTACTGTTTCTTGATGTGCCCACTTGCAGGGGGCAAGCTCGTACTCCTGGTAGCATCTGACACTGGTGTTGGTGTGGCGTGAAGGACCGAGCCTGAGCAGGATGTTTAATGTGCCTCGGTCGACGTTTCGATCCGTTTGACCAGGTGATGTCAGGTCAACCGAGGCGTCATCTGAGGTAGCTGACGTCAACCTGAGTCTTATCGCCATTATTATCCTCATCAGTTGCTGCAGCAAAAAAAAAACCCAATGATTTAAGACTTTCAGTTTCGATGACTAATGATTAAATCCTAATGATTTAATCTATAATGAACGTGCTAAGTTTTTCGTCGATACAACAATACGATGAGCCGTAACAGACATAGAATAGGATTTTGAATTTGGGCTTGATTTTGGAGGCCGAGCATAACTAAAGTTTTAGTTGGATGTGAACCATGAGTTCTAATTGGATCGAGTTCGGGATAAACCACCTCCGACCCATTTACACCTCCGCGGACGGCGGATCACCATGTCCCTCCCTCTTCGACCTTTTCCCAATCCGATCACCTCTAACCGCAGGTCTCGCAGCCGGTGGCACGTGCCATGTCAAGTGGTTCTAAGCCGAAAGTAGCAGTCTCAATCCGAGAAAAGCTTGGAAGGTCACAATCCCCTATTGTCTTAATCGTTACCTCCTCCCGCACCCCAAGCAAACCTTTTATAATCACCACTATCCCCTATTGTCTTAATCGTTCTCTATTCCTTCCTCCCCCTCCACCCTCAGCCTCCCAGACACTGTTCCGATTGTATTCTTGTCACTTCTTCCCCTGCCAGAGACCAAAGCGGCTATCTCAGGTGCTCCTCCTTTCACATTCCTCACGCTCGTCTTACTAATTTGTAGCCTCTTTCTCTTAGATTTGCCCCGTGTGATTCCTCATTTTATTCGATTGGGTTTGTTGGTAATATCTCGTTTCTGTTTTCTTTTAGGAATATCGTCAAGCAGGTCGTCGTTTGGATTATGATCTTCGTGGTTCTTGATTGGGTGCTCATGATGCTTGTTTTTTAATGTTCTACATAAGCTGTAACCATATGTATATAGCAGTTTTCGTGGATAGATCCACTCGTGCGGTAATTCTCGTGTAAGCATTTCGTCGAGCATGAAGTGGCATTGCTTTTTCTAAGATGGATTTGTTGTTTTCTTCTTTCTGTGAACTAAGATTATGGTTGTCGTCACTAGCAATTGTGGTGATACTGTGAAAGAAGCTTTATTGGTCACTTTGCCACGCAACCTGTTATAATATTGCTGTGCGGATACACCCTATAACTGTACTTCGAGTAGAGTAATTTTTTTACTGTGGCAACAAGTCCATTTCCTTGTAATATCTGTATTAAAGTTTATTTCATTGTGCAATGAGGGATAATTGATTTATACATGGTGCTAGACTTTATTATTTACGGCAGTATCAGTAAGTTGATCTGACTCTATTTGTGTTTCTAATTTAGGTGAGACTTAAGTTAATATTTTTTGTGAATTGATAGTGACTCTTTATCTGAAGATGCCCTTTAACACTTTGGTGCTTGGATGATGTTCAAAACCATGGACATAAAAGAAATATAGTTTTCCTACTATGAAGCGGACCTTATGTGTTTTTCAGTAGTGGAGTAAGGTTTGCAATGCCATCATATCATAGACATAGCTGGTTTTGCCTAAGTCGTGCAATATTTTTATTTGTCCGTCGTAAAGGCTCAGCTTCCTCATAACCTTGTAGTTTACAAAAGAGAAGACGGGTTAGTAGAAGTGTTAAACTCGGGACCCAACAAGTAAACATTTCAACAAACATTTGATAGAAAATGCAAAATATGAAGATGAACTTCGTAAGCTCTGAATGATCATATAACAAAGGGTCTAAGACAGTCTGCCGTGCCTAAAAGTCCGCATGAACAAGTGCCCATATGACACAATGACGGAACCAAGGGACGAACCAACCCAAGACACTACCCCAGAGGCCCATCTAGTCATGTGCCACCTAGGTAGCCCCAAGGGGTTGAGATAGCTACCATTTTTGGCCACTATCTACTCATGGAAAACATCTAAAATGACTGGTTGGAGGCCTTGTTTTTGGGCAGTTTTACCTTTGCGCAACGACCACAAATATGCTGTGTTTACAAACCTGAAAAAGCCATAAAATCCAACCAAAATGGAGCTGCTAAGCCTTTTATCCCCTTGTAGACTGTTTAATGCATGAACAAAACCAAAGGGCAAGGACATCCATAGACATTACATTGAACACCTTCCCCTTAAACTGTCCGTGACAATCCGGAATGGTATGTTACAAGCACTATTTTCCAGTCTGACAGCTTACCAGTACACAGACCTGTGTAAACCGTGTGGTACATCCGATATTGGACCTTTACCGGGCGGTACAATCCCTGTATCACCCAATATAGGATCGTACTGCCTGGTGTAGAGCGGTATAGGCTCTGAACCAAGTAGTTTCCTTTTTTATTTTGTAAGCCTTTTTAGGCTTTTTTCAAGACTCGTCAAGTAACAGCCTCCTGACACTTGGTACGACATTGGCATGGACCGATATCGTGCTGGTCTGAGCTCTGATGAGTACGATACCAGTATGCAAAACTGCAAACCTTGGTTGAGAGGTTAATGAACTATTTTGTGAATAGAAATTAAATAGAATATATCACATATGTTTTGTTCTACACAATATGTGTGCCCAAATAAATCTCAGGTCGATTTGATCTACTTGTGTTTGTATTCAGGATTTAAAAGCATCTATCTGTGCTATCTTGTAATTGTGTACTGATTCTCATTGATCTGCAAAATTCCTGATATTCATGATTTGCATATGACCTTTTTTTCCATTGGGAGATCCTTGATGCTGAATTGACACCCCTTACAGAGTGTCCTTAGCTGCTATCTGGTCAGGAAATTTTCATCAATTGTGGAGCAGTCTCGGAAGTAATTCAACTATCAAGTTTCAGGTTTAGTACTAAATGGGTCACATATGTTTTATAAGTCTCATGCTGATTTGATCTACTTGTGTTTGTATTCAGGATTTAAAAGCATATATCTGTGCTATCTTGTAATTGTGTACTGATGCTCATTGATCTACAAAATTTCAGATGTTCATGATTTGCATATGACCTTTTTTCCATTGGGAGATCCTTGATGCTGAATTGACACCCCTTGCAGAATGTCCTTAGCTTCTATCTGGTCAGGAAATTTTCATCAATTGTGGAGCAGTCTTGGAAGCAATTCAACCATCAAGTTTCTCAGGTTAAGTACTAAATGTGTCCCTGACAAATCATTTGATGCTAGGAGATGCCCACTACGACAGTTGACAAATGTAGTAGAAGAACTGAGACAGGAGCCACAGAGTTTTATTACATCATGTGGCTGCCATGACTGGAGACTTGAGAAAGTGACAATTGCGTCAACAACAAATTTGAATACCCATCAGCAAGAAATTCATGAACTTAAAGCTGTTCAGTGTTACAATATCCAAGAAAGTACTCTCAAGAAATCTGTTGACCGTCCTGCAACTATCCTCGTTTTTGATATTGAAACCACTGGGTTCAGTCATCAAAATGAAAGGATTATTGAGTTTGCACTTCGTGATCTTATTGGTGGCAAGAACAGTACATTCCAAACCCTTGTAAATCCTGAAAAAGATGTACTGAATGCATTTGTTCATGGAATTGACACATCTATGGTCAACAGGCGTGATGTCCCAACGTATGTATCTCTAATCTTGAAGGATTCAGATTTGCTTATCTTCTTGCCAGTATTTATGTTGGAGCAAACAAATCAATTTACAGAATTCTCAAATGTGGACCTCTGGAAGCTGCTTTTATCTAGCAAGTTAAAAATTAATGTTGCTGTTGAGTGTTATTAACTAGACAAAGAATTTTTAACAACATGATTTTTTTAATTAATTGCTTTCATTTTTTTTTATTGTGCTAGAATTAGTAATCATATTGTCTCAATTATTTTCAGTCACATGAAATCAGATATGCATGCACATGCACAATTTATCAGGCGTATGCAGACAATACTGTTCAGCAGTTTGGAATATTTGTTTTGATCTTCATAGTTGTAAGCCATGTGCATGATTTGGAAAAGTTTATATTTGTTTTAAGTGATGTTGTATCTTAAGGCTTCATATTGTATGTTAAGGCTCTGTTTGATTTTTCTTTTTGAAATATGCATTATGTAGTGGGTATTGCACTTTCCTTTGGATTTTAGTTTAGTTATCTGATCACAGGCAATTTTTTGTTGTCGTTCATCAGTCAAGGAGGTCCTTATTGATGGCATGATACATAAAATCATGGTATCTTGCAATAGAAATATGAAGCAATTACTATAAGACTGTAATTTTGCTTTGTGATATTATGTTACAGCATATTGAAAGTTGTGATGGGAACAAAAATTGTTGTATTAACTAAGGTACTGCATTTATTTTGAGGGCAATCATTGCTGTTATTGTTTTTTTGAAAGATGATTGGCTGCTGATATCCAGCATGTGTAATACATGTGAAAAATGCTTTTGAAGAAACATTTGCTTTATATAACTTTTTCTGAACTTTTGATATTTCATGTCTATGCTGGTGCTTTGAAGAGCTTCTTTAATAAATTTTTTAATTCCTGTATCTTGCTTTCATTATGTTAACATAGATTTAGGGAGTTGCTTCCTGTCCTACTTCAATATGTTCGGAGCCGCCAAGTGGCAGGAAGGCCGGTTTTGTGGGTTGCTCACAATGGACGTAAGTTTGATGTACCTTTCATCATCAAAGAATTCCAGCGCTGTTTGGTGGAGATTCCAGCAGATTGGATGTTTGTTGACACTCTTCCTCTTGCACGCCAATTGATGAAGCCAGATGGTAGGTCATTGTTTTATCTATTTTATTTCTTCTATGGTAAATCTCTTTCCAGTTTAAAATTTGTTGATTGTATTTTAATGCCAATGTACATTGCACGGTTTTTAATTTCAATATGTACTGCTCGGTATAGGTGGTGTACCGGTCCAAGAGCCTCTCGGCATGCTGACCGCCTGCTACCGAGTGGTACCAAATCTTTGCCCTTGTAGCGGGTGATATGGGGCTGTATCGGGTGGTAACTGTCAAAATTTTGACTATTACTGACCTATACCGAGCATTACCGATCAATTTCAACCATTACCAACCTATACCAGGCGGTAACGGTCGAAATCGACCGTTACTGACCTTTTAGCTATTTTAGGTGTACCATTCGGTTCGCCTTGGCATACCGTCAGTATGCCTCGGTACGTATTGTACTGATCAACACTCGGAATATAAGTACAGATCAAAATTGTGAACCTTGGTTTATTACACTAACCAGAATAAAAGAGTATTTCAACAGAAATAATATACTCCCTTCTATTTGATAACTCCTAGAACCTATAGCTTCAAGAATATGTTCCGATGTCTAACTATTGTTGTGGTCATTATTAAAACAATTAGCTCTTAAATAGACATGCCATAGTTTTTGTCTTATTTAATTAGGTCACATTTAGTTCTTCATTTTACAAGTAAGTTACTAGAAACATATGGCGGTGTAGGTCACAAGCCATAACTATCACTTGAGTTTCTTGATTAGTTAGTGTCATGCAGATTGCAATAACTGTAAAATCTAGAAAGAGTTTTGGCAATTCTTGGATTTTAGTGTATTATTTTAGGTTAAATTTTTTTTTATCTTGATATATGTCAATTTAGGATTATCTTGATATATGTCAATTTAGGGTTATCTTGAAAGTCTATATTGCATTTTTATAATCTGTATAGCATTTCTATTCTACCGTTTCTACCGTCTTGTGCAGTCAAAATTTGTTAGATTTGCTTTGTGAATGTAATTGGCTGATAATCCATGAGAATTGAGACGATACTTCAAATTTCAGAAATAACTTCAAGTTCAATATGTTATCTCGATCTTGATTCTCTTACACCTTTAATCCCCCTGGTGGATATGCCTCTATCGCATAGTTATTCAGGAAATCTTGATAGGTTAAACGTATTTAGGATGCTTTGGATTTGACCAGGGTTAGACAGAATCAGGAGGTTTGGATTAGGCTTATATGGGTTTGGATCATAAATAGGTTAGACGCAATAGTCCCTGAGTGAAAATTTATTCAGCAGGTTCTGTTCTACAACCTTATACAATCAAATCTTGTTCAGATTTGCTTTGTGAATGTAATTGGCTGGTAAATCATGAGTAAGGCCTACAGAGGAACAGAAAATAGTTGGGAAATTAAAACATGACCATTGAGACGGTAATGAATATTTTGAATTTCAGAAATAACTCCAAGTGCAGTATGTCATCTCGATCTTGATTCTGTTATTCATCCTTAATCACCCTTGTGGATATGACCCTATCATGTGGTAATTCAGGAAATCTTGCTAGGTTAAACTCATTCAGGATGCTTTTGATTTGACCAGGGACATCAATACTTGACTTCAAATCTATAAGAACCCAACACGACTAGCGGGTATCTTTTAGGCTTATATGGGTTAGGGTCACAAACAGATTAGACACAATAAGCCCAAGTGGTAAAAAATTTTAGGAATTGGCACAACTGACCTGAATCAACCAATTGATTGTCTTGTTATATGTGTTAAACATGCCATTTTTAGATAAGTTTGTGAATGTTATTATTATAAATAGGTCTTACTGGATTGATTATTGTCTGTGTCAAGTTTAGGTATGTAAGTATTTCAAATCTTGTTAAGAATGGGTTAATCATGTTATCCTTTATGTGATTCACATTGACTGAACTGAGTTCTAGTTTGCTCTTTGACATGATTGATAGATCAGGTTAAGGCATGGTATACTTAAGTTAACCTGAAGTGACCTGTTGACACCCCTAGATCTGACCTGATTTTGCCAAATTTGAGCCTAGCACTAGTTTAGGATTAGTTGAATTTGGAACAGACTCTCAATAAATCACGTGCAACTCTTAGCTCTATATAAACACCAGTGATGTTTGTGCTTCTACTGTACTTCAGTATCTTTTACTGGTTATGGGAAACAAGGAATCAAATACTAATTGGACTGCTACAAACCAAGGATCATTCAGGACCATATAGGATGGTGTTGGTCAGTAAGTGTTTACTATATTTTTTTTGTTGATATCAGGCGGTATGAATTGGTAATCTGATATATCCATATCATACTGAGATAATAGGTCATTGAAAATTTGAAATCAATATCATATCAAGATCTAAATACTTGATGGGGAATCGGGAAATAGCCAAGATCTAAATACTTGGTCATTGAAAATAGGTCATACTGAGATAATAGGTCATTGAAAATTTGAAATCAATATCATATCAAGATCTAAATACTTGATGGGGAATCGGGAAATAGCCAAATATATGTCAAGGTTAATCAGTAACTTATGTGATTTAATTGAATCTGTTTTGTTTCTTCTTTAATTTTGCAGGAACAAAGCTTACTTCCTCCTCATTAAAGGCACTACGTGAGCACTACCAAATTCCTTTGGTTGGACCAGCACACAGAGCAATGCAGGATGTCACGACACTCTGCTACGTGCTCCAGAAAATTACTTTCGATCTAAAACTGTCTATTCCTGAGCTCATGGATAGAGCTTTCCGGGCTTCGGACTTTGTGAAACTTCCTCTTGAGAAATAAGATGGAGGTGTCCAACTCAAAAGCAAAACTAAAAAACATGCGTTAGTTATTAACCTTAACTCTGGAATCATTGTTGTATCTGTCACCATTCAATAGGTGGTTTCTGGTAATTTTCCTCATTACCATTATGGTAATGAATTTATTTATCATTTCATTTAGTATACCTCCATGATTGAATGAGAATTCTAGTTGTCTTAAATGCTAAAAATATTGTGAGAATGTTAATCCTAAATTATTTTTACTCGATATTATTTGTGTGCTCAATTTTCTTGTTGAAAGGAATTTCAATAAGTATTGATAAAATTGGCAAGTCAGCTGGTTTTTTGCCCTTTGGTTTGACCAAAGGATGAATTAATTTAGTCTTATTTTCTTTCCCTCGTTTTGCACGTAAAGACGAACTCGTGACAGAAACATGTCAAAGAAGTAAACCCTTTTTATTAACCCTTATTTTATCCATTTCTGGTACGAACTAACTTGTACGTGGAGAAAACTATACTTAACTGTCAATGAACCTCTTTTCAATGATCTACCATGCATATTGTATACTATTTTTCAATATAATTTTTTAGATATTTTACACACTTATGCAACAAAAGATTAGTTACAAAACTCTATATCCACCATCCCGTTCTGTCTATGATTGCTCTAGCTATCTTGCTCTTTTTAAATCATCCCACGTTAACTCAGAATTAGCTATTATAATCATAAAGGAGTAGATTTAGTGAGAGCCAAATATATAGGAAGGGTTACAAATCAGTGGAAAGATTGAGAACACCGTGGTGGTAAAAAATAAACATAATCAATAATAAATATGTAAGTTATCAACTAGAACAGAGGCGTCCATGAATCACCCCGGAATCATGTAAAAATCATAAGAACTTGGTTATGCTGATGCGGATTTTGCTGGATGTAGTTTAGATAGAAAAAGCATATTCGGAATATGTCAATTTTTAGGACATGCACTCGTTTCGTGGTCTTTCAAGAAATAAAACTCAATTGCATTATCTACAACCGAAGCTAAGTACTGCAAGTGCATGCTGTGCTCAAGTTATATGGATGAAAAATACTTTAAAGGACTATGGAATTGACCTAAAAAACATACCTATAAAGTGTGAGTAGTGCTCACTACCTGTAGGTGGCAGGCGGTAGCACCGCCCAGCTAGCGGTGCCACAGCCCGCAACCTACCCCTTATAAACCCCAAGTTAGGGTCGACGGTAGAACCAACCCTAACACATTCTACACTCCTCTAAACAGTACCAAATCTCTTGCTCTCCCTCTAGCTACTCCAAAATACCCATCTCCTACTAAATCAGGGATCAATCTCCGACATCCTTTTGAAGATCACTAGAAGGAAAAACTACTAAAGTAATCTTTACACCAAATTGATTCTCCTTTGTATTACTTGTTCTTGCTCCTTTTTTGCCTTTATTATTGTAGTCTCAATGGGTTCTAGAAGAGCCTCTAGGAATAAAGGGAAGAGGAGATTAGATAAAAATTATGACTCCCTACTTTTCGATTCTAATCAACATGCCCTAAAATTTTCATCCATAGAGTCTAGACATGTTCATAAGGGTAAATATGTTCATTTAGACGAAATAAGTGATTTGGAACCTATTCAATGGTTTGCTAATCTAGATATTCTCCCAATCCTTCAAATGAGTGAACTTATCTACCCTAGACTTGTTAGGCTATTTTACAATAATTTACATATAGATGAAGATGAAAGGGTATCTAATTATCTATTAGGACATCATATACCCATTACGGATAAAACCATTTGCAACATCATAGGAATTTCGATAAAAGACAGAGAGTGTTATTTTAGAGGATAATGGGATGAAGAAATAGTTGGGACTATTTACGTTGATGCCTTAGGAATATTTTTTGGCAATCCTAACTTAATGATTCTTCCAAAAAGCTGCGAACATTTACTACCTTTAAGCACCAAAATATTTCATCACATCTTGATAAGTATCATTCTCCCAAAACAATATCATTCTCCCAAAACAATATCATTGTGATGAAGTAAGCCAAATAGAACTAGGTATCATGTATTAGATTATGAAGGGACATAACAATTGTTTTGATTACATAATCCAACAAAACATGATTAAACTATCAAAAAAGGACATGATGCTTCCATATGGTGGCTTAATCACAAGACTACTCCATGCCAATGATATTGCCATTCCACCTAACGAAGAAGTCATAAAACTAGATAGATTCAGTATCATAAATAGAAATCTACTTCGACGAATGAGATGTACATTCAGAAATGGTATATGAACTAGACTTCCTAGAATGACTGATCCCCTCCAACTTGAACCAAAACCTGAAACACCAATTTTTAAGGGTAATCTATCTCCTCCAACTGGTCCATGAGGAATCACCTCCAGTAGAGCAAGCACCTCCCTCATCTATCGACGACATAGGGACTCGGATGGCTCGGTTTAAACAATGTCAAGATCGACTTGAACAATGCCAAGATCAAATTTTGATTGAGTTACAACAGATTCATCAACAACTCAATACCCTGTTTAGACATTTTGACTGGCCACCACCTGAATAATTAATTATGACTTTTTGCTGATGATAAAGGAGGAGAAATGAATGAATCCCTTTCTTTTATTCTGCTTACTTTGATGTTGTAATCCTATGTTGTTTACCTTGATGTTGTAAACTTAAAATGCTATTTACTTTTATGATTGCAATTATGTGCTTTGATTTCCATGTTATCTCTTCAAATGATGAGTATGATGATGCAATATCGTGCTTACTTTGATGCTGAAAATTTCTGTAATTTTGACTTGAAAATGGATGTCATGCCTTGACATCATTTCTATCAACGAATATGTGGTATCATCTTTAGATTTGGTAAATCATGAAGTGCATGATGATAATAAGTCTAAATTATCAATTTGATGCTTGAATTGAAAGGCGTTGAATTCAATAGTGTCTTTTCTCAATTATGACATATAGATAGGGGGAGTTAAGATTAACTCCATCACCAATTGGTTGTCATCATCAAAAAGGGGGAGATTGTTGAATCTTTGATTTTGATAATGAAATCAATTGGTAAATTATTCGATCTAATCCATGTGTTGAGATAAGTGTGCAGGATTAACTATAATAGCAGTAAGACATAAAGCAGATGATGGGCCGGAGTCGAAGACTCGGACGATATACCGGGAGCTCGCCGAGAGTTCATCGTGAGATCACCGGAAGCACGCTGGAAGACTCACCGAAAGCTCGTCGGGAGATCGCCAGAAGCACACCAGAAGACTAGCTAAGAGTTGGTTGAGAGTTCGCTGGAAGCTCGCCGGAAGACTCACCGAGAAGTTCGTCGGAGGATCGCCGAGTGAAAAATCGACGTACCAGACCATGCTTACCTTAATCGTAGTTAGAATGATAATTAGAGTTGATTTGGGAGGTAATCCCATCATCTATGTGAGGGGCCAACTGGGCTCAGAGCTAGGATGGTTTGGACCGAATACAAGGCCCAACCAGGTTGCTGGACATTGACTAGCAGTGGCACCGCCTCGAAGACCCAGTCTCCTAGGTGGTCTGGGTGGTGGAACCGCCTAGACTAGGCAGTGGTACCACTGGCAATTAATGCTGCCAACGGTGGTACCGCCAGAGCTCGGTCTCCGAGCTCTATCAGGTGGTGGTACCGCCCAGTGTCAGACTACAGGTGATAGTACCGCCCAGTAATGGCGGTGGTACCGCTAGTACCCCGGAAATCCAAGATGATACACTTTTTGGCTCCATTTTTTAAAGCCATTGGGGCCTATAAATACCCCACCCTTTTCTGCATGAAAAGGCACCGAAGTGTGATTATAATCTTGAATCTTTGGGGTGTAAAAGTGCTAGAGTTTTCCTCCTCCCTCTCTTAGATTTGTAACCATTCAAGAAAGAGGAGTAAGGCTTGTAAGGGTTCTCTCCTAAACCCGACAAAAGGAGAAAGAGCTGTAAAAGGTGATTGGTCTTCACTTATTGAAGGAAGGCCTTTAGTGGACATCAGTGACCTCGACAGAAGAGGAATCCGAAAGTGGATGTAGGTCACATTGACCGAACCACTCTAAATTCTGATTTGCATTTCATTTTAAGCAATTTACTTTAACTGCAAATCATTTCATAGCAAACTGCTTCTCCTCATCATCTTGCTTTCACTATGCTTACGCTCTCTTACATTTAAAGTTACTATCTTTCTAAATCAATTTCCATCGAACGTACGAAATATTTTACAAAATCAAAAAAAATTTTGCTGCACTAATTCACCCCCCCCCCCCCCCTCCCCCCTCTTA